ACAACCACTATCCTACTTTCTGTCTCTGAATTTAACTACTCTATGTACCTCATATAAGTGGAATCATATAATATTTGTCCTTTTGTGACTGGCTTATTTCACTCTACATAATGTTCTCAAGGTTCATCCATGTTGTAGCATGTGTCAGAATTTCCTTTCTTTTTAAGGCTGAATAATATTCCAATGTATGTATATACCACACATTGTTTATCCATTCTTCCATCAATGGATGCTTGGGTTACTTCCACATTTTGTGGCTCTTGTAAATAATGCCACAATGAATGTGAGTGTACAAGTATCTCTTGGAGACCCTGCTTTCAATTCTTTTGGGTATATACCCAGTAGTGGAATCGCTGGATCATATGGTAATTCTATTTTTAATTTTTTGAGGAAGCACTATAGTGTTTTCCACAGCAGCTATACCATTTCACATTCCTACCAGCAGTGCATAGCTGTTCCAGTTTCTCCACATCCTTGCCAACGCTTATTTTCTGTTTTTTTTTTTTTTTTTTTAAATAGCCATCCTAATGGTTGTGATATCTAATTGTGGTTTTGATTTGCATTCCCCTGTTGATTAGTGATGTTGAACATCTTTTCATGTACTTACTGGCCATTTGTATATGTTCTTTGGAGAAATGTCTAATCAAGTCCTTGGTCCATGTTTGAATCTGGTTGTGTTTTGTGTTTGAGTTTTTTGAGTTGATTTTGGAGGAGGCTGTTCTAGCACTCAGCAATACAAGATGCCTGTGATAGGGAGTGTGGAAGGCCATCAGATAACCTTGACTAACAGCCCATTGTTAGTGACTTTTCAGATAAAAACGTACCATTATCAGACTGCGGATGTTTGGAAAGTGAAAAACATGACTCAGATGAATGTCAAGGGCAACAGTGGTGTGGCTGGAGTCAGTTGATTGGACTGCAGTAGCAATACCATAACTTGAAAAAGTGTCATCAGCGATGAGGCATCACTGACAGTCTGAAGAGGGGGTCAGAGGTCTGATGTAGCCAATCTACCAGTAGTGCGTAATGGGGCCTCTCTCACCATGAGACAAATGGGTCTTTTACTGGGAGTCACAAGTCTGAGGTGCACTGGTTGCCTGTGCATCAGAAACATAGAAACGGGGCAGTGTGGGTTTCCTTACCAGGTTGGTTCCAGGTGGTCTCATCAGACAATGGGCCCTTACCATGGGCATCTGTATTAGTGACTCAGATGGTCCGATCAGCAACTGCAATTTGTCTCCACAGTTTATGGTCTGTCTTTAATGGTCTGTCTTTAGTATGTTAGTCTATAGTTTTCCAAGTGGCATACCAAACAACTAGGCCATTGGTAATAGCCCCAGAGTCAGTGAAAATATAACAAGGACAGCGTAGGGTTTCAGCTTAGCTCAATCATTGGTGAACCAGGCCCAGACATTCAGAGGATCCTCTGTGAATCAAGGGCCTCATTGAGCCAGCGGCTTTGGTTTAGGTGGCAGAATGTAGGATAAAATTTCCCCAGAGAGATAGCTGCCACTTTTCCATGTAAAGCTGTGATGCTATAGGGGCCAAGCTGGCTACATTCTTGAATATACTATTTCCATGTGATAAGAGAGGCTTGTTAGGCCCTTCCCACCTTGTTTGTCATTGAGTTTGAGTTGATCCATCCCCAAATGGGAAAATTTTCAAAAGAAATATACGTGGTGGCTGTGTTATGGAGGCATTGAATCCATACCCAAGGGGCATCTCCAGTGGATGCTGCTCCTCTTGCCAGAGGCTCCAGTCAATAAAATCATCCATGCACAGAGACTTGTACTCAAAGGGGTCATAAGGATTGTGGGGCGCTAAAGCTACCAATGCTTTTCTATATGTGGCTCTTCACAGTTGGCATAATCCCCTCTGGCACTTAGGAGCATTCACAGTGCAGGCATGTAATACCAATTATATATTCAGTGGTGAAAGCCACATATAGTAATACATTGATCTGATCCAAAGAGCCCCACCCAAGAGGACAGGTTAGCTTCTCTTCCCCACTGTGAACCCTACCCAAACCTCGGTAGCTGAAAACAGGTACCTTCTCCCTCCAAGGATGGACGTGAAGGTGACGTGGGCTCCTGTATCTAACAGAGCCATAAAACTTTGAGTCCCTCTCCTCCCCAGAGTGATCTAGCATACCCCAGGTGTGTTTGGTCTTCAGTTTCCCTTGGGGACTTGGAGAACTAAACCCCGCCCCTACTCACCTTTCTCTTTAAAGCAGCTGAGCTTGGGGTGTAGGAAGAGGTTGGGAGAGAGCAGCTCTGCACCAGTAAACAAGGTGTATTTACTTTTAGTTTTGAGCTGTGCTGTAGCTGCGTGCTGATCAACCAAATAAATCTGTGGTGTTTTTGGTCCGCCCCAAAGCCCTGTATTCTGTGGCAAGGTCATCATTACTGACATCACCTGTTTCTGTTTGGGAGCACCTTAATGCAGTGGCTACAGCCACATTGCTTTCTGACAGGAGCCATGTGTTTGTACTCTTTGGCTCACTTGGGCTTGATCTGCACAGTGGCATCATTGTTTTTGGGAGTCCACCTAATAATGCAGGCTATTTGCTGCTCCACTGTCAAGATAACATCTCTTAAATTCTTGCCTGAAGTCAACATAAGGACTAGGGGAATTTGCTAAGGCCGGCAGGGCTGACAGCAAGAATTTATCTAGATTTCTTTGGGGCGAGTTGCTCATTCTCCAGTGAATCACCTTCATCATTTTAAACCCAGCTCAATACAGTAAGAGCCTGAAGACCAGTCAGTGCCCACGAGAGTTTGTCTCAGGGAAATTTACCTACGAGGACCAAAACTCTTGCATAGGAGACAGGACCCACTGCCAAAAGATGCTGAGGTCTTTTACTTGTCTCAAATGGATTGAATGTTGACAAGATGGGCTGGAGGAGGGGCTGAGCAATAAGATAGCCAGCTCTTGCCATTCTTCTTTAACAAGCATTATGTGCCCCACCCTCACATCTCCCAAGCAAACTAGCCAGAGTTCTAAAGATTCTTCTGGTTCTGCCCACAGTGGTTGCTCTTTCCTCCTTTCACGCTCGGTGTAGACACATTTCTCTGCAACGTTATCTGAAAGGGGACAGAACCTTCTGTGCTCCCCCCACCCTCCACCAGATAAATCGTAGTACTAGTTGTTTCCCGGGCAGACCTGCTGAGGCTGACTGTCAACTTATTGGAGAATTGACAGTAACCAGGGCATCATTCAGGCTGCTATCTTTGAACCTACTTCCTGGTACTCAGCCTGAAACTACCTCCTCAATTCAACCTCATTAACAGGCAGTAAAGTAGAGGACTGTTCATTGACTGATTGACCATACAATTTGGCGAAATGTTCACTCATAATTCACATGGACTTCTATCAATTCCTGTTAACTGGCCTTTCATTCCATTTCTAGAAAGCTTTATCTCTGTTAGCATTCCATCCTCATTTGCCAAACTGTCAAAAATTGTGAAGGGCTTGAGATTTTACCCTTCATGCAAGCTAACAAGTTAGCATGCCACAATTTCATGGATACTATTAGAAGACATGAGACTCTCGAGTCAGACAAAGGATGTCATTACTCACAGCAATAGCAGTAGCCAGAGTGTCAGGATTTGTGCCAGATAACCAGCCCCAATGTCCATAGGATACTGCAAAGAGAGCCAAGTGATGCCTGTACACAGAGTTGGGTGCGTTACAGGAAAGGAACCTCTCAGCTTAGGGTACCAGATCTTTTATAATGGGCAGTAAGCCTTCCTGACCTTTCCCCTGGGGGGTGACATTATTATATTGGACAGTAAACAAACCTGCCTTTGCTCTCCAAAGAGGAACTGTATCTTCTAAGGCTGTTGACTATATAAATATCCCATACAAAGGGGGTCAGTACCTTTTCTTGCAAGATGTGTAAAAATGCTAGACATGCAAGGAGAGTTGTCTCCCTGTACATTTTTGGTTACAGGTTCTTTCCCAAACAATTTTTTAAGTTCTAGTGAAATAGAATCTTAAACAAGCATTAACATTAAACTTTTTTTTTTGTGAAAAACCTTTTTCCCCTCTCTGCTACAGTTCAGTTCACATCCTTGCTTTTTCTCACCTAGACTACCATAATTGTCTCCTAACTGGTCTCATTGCCTATAGTCTTGTTCTGTCTATCCTCAACACTTCTGCCAGAGGGATCTTTTAAAATGCAGATCTGATGCTGTCACTCAAATTTGTTATTGGTTCCCCATTACTATTAGGACAAAGTTTAAATTGTTGAGCAGTTGTGTAATCATTTCTCATGTGCTGACTACTGTCTAGTTTTTAAATGTTGGCAACTAAACTACAAAAAAAATTTATTTTAAGCCATAAAGGCGAGTGCTAGGTAGGCTGCGTGCTGCCAGTTTTAACCTCTGCTCTTATTTATCATCTTTTCTCTTACACCTTTGTCTGCAACATGCAGTTCTTTCTGCCTTGAATAATTTTCACATTTGCCTCTTATACTTCTATTCATCCCTAAAATCTTACCTACTCTATAAAACCTTTAAGTGAACCCTTCTCAACCTAGTTAGGTATCTTACTCTGAACACCTTTAGAGTAATTTCAGATAAACTGTGCATGTGTCACTATAGCACTACCTCATTGTGTTGTAATTACTGATTTTTTTTCCTTATCTGCATCCCCACTAAATCACGTGTAAGCTACTCAGAGGAAGATCCTCCCTCCTTTTCCACACACACCAAATCTTTAGGAAGGAAAATTGCTTTCCTGAGAATTGTTTTGAAATCAAATCCATTGAATTAGCTGGCTTTTTATCTTTTAATCACTGTTAGATATTCTCTGTTTTGAAGCTTGAGGATATTAATTTGCTTAATTTTGAAGGGAAAGATATAGTATTCACTGGAAAATAGACAAGTGATTCAGTCCTATGGTCCAACCTATATGATATGTTCCAATATATATGGACATTATATATATTATTTACTATGCCTAATAATATTTTCTTGCTTTGTTTAAATTTAATATAGACCGTGGATATTCATAAAGAGAAAGTGGCTCGAAGAGAGATTGGTATTTTGACAACAAATAAGAATACATCAAGAACTCACAAAATAATAGCACCTGCAAATATGGAGCGCCCCGTAAGGTATATTCGGAAACCTATTGACTATACAGTTCTGGATGATGTGGGCCATGGTGTCAAGGTAAGCATTTTTATATTACATTAACTTGAAGTAATTTATCCAGTAAATGTTTTCGATAGGAAATATGGTGATAAAGATAATTTTCTTAAAGAATTAATAGATTCTCTTAGCTAGTAACTAGCGTTACAATTTTCAAAGAACATTTATTTAATACTAGTTGTGTATTATACTAAGCTTGGGGCAGAATTTTACCTGTGGAATAGGCTATATTCAAGAAGATGATAAAACTTGAAATGGCTGTTCATTAATTAAGCCTTTTGAATCCTAGACTAATATTATAAATTTGTGTTGTGAATACCATGTCTCGCTTTCACTGCTGAATGTTTAAAAATAAAAAATATATATGCTTTCCAGAATTGGTTCAGAAAGTAATTACTTTAAACCTTTTATCCCTAATTATGCGTATGTATTAATGCGTCTGTGTGGATGTGGATGTAATTCCAGCAACTTATGAAAAATAAAAATTGTAATTTTGTTCCATGAGACACCCGCCACTCCCCCACCCCCTACCCCAGCAGGCTTTTAGGAAAGAGATTATTTGTTGCCTATGTTCATTTCTTAGCATGGCAGAATTAGCTGCTCTTGAAAGATACCTGTAGTCTGTCTACTTTTTAGGTATTCATGGGTCATTTTGCAGGCATCTGGAATGACCTGAATTCTTTAGCCATCTCTGCTCAGGATAAACTATTCCTCTGAAATTTGGTAGTGTCTTTCCTAGAGGACCATTATTTGATTTTATTTCTGGTCTTTAAAATATTTATAATAATTTTTTTAGGAGTCGGCTAGACTCTTGGAGCTTTTCTTAGCTGGTTATCTGACTGGTGCTGTTGCTGGATCTGTTACGTTCTGAATTATCTGGGGTTCCTCATCAAGAGGAGAGTATAGCTGACAACACTGACCTTTGTTCTACTCTTCTCTGAGATTATTGGAATCTCCCCCTCACTGTCATGCTTGGAAATTATATGTAAAGTTGCGACACTTTGCAAATGTAGAGGAGGAGGCTACTTGTTTGTTTCTTGTATTTTTACCCAAGGATATGGCTAGGGATGTATAAGAGCTTAAATTCAGTTTCAATTTAAGATATTTTAGATCAGATTGATCCACAGGATTTGAATTTTGAGAGTCTGGAAGAACTTCTTTTGTATTATTACTTGCCTCGGGATTAAAAATTATATGTATACACACGTAATACATATACACGCGCCCACACACACTTACTGTCACTTAGTCACTTCCTGTTTTGCCTAATCTTGATTTTTCTACTTAAGCAATACACACTCTTAAAAAAATTCCGTTACCATCTTAGAAGTGAATATCCTCTATTATCCCTCCACTGATAGTTGTGTTGAACAGTTCAGTGCATAGTATTTAGCAGAGTATAAGATGAAATCAAATTTTACAAGGAAATTTTGGGTGAGAAAATTCAACTGTTTCATCATTTACGTATAAATCGGAAGTGTAAACACAGCATAATATATACTGAAAGTACACACATACAAATTTTGGCAGTCTACTTTTTGTAATATGGATATTTAGACACAGTTTTGTTTTTTAACTTTTTGTTGTGGTAAAATATACATAACGTAAAATTTACCATTTAACCATTTTAAGTCTACATTTCTGTGGCATTAAGTACATTCATATTGTTGTACTGGCTATTTGTCAATGCTACATTTTTGACTGGGGGTGGGACGGTGGGTGGTCTGTGAGAACAATGTATCTTAGAAGCTGATATGTGGCCTATTTGTCCCTATGTTGCTTCTGTGATATGCAAATACAACACACAGTTACTTTTCCCTCAGTCATCTCATTGCTGCTTTATCTAGTTTTCTGATTTCTTTAAGAGATCATTGCTGGCTTAATTAAATATTTCTAAAGAATTGTAGCGATATGTGAAGGTTAGAAATTTGGGTAGTAGTTAATGAACAAAAGCCAGGGCCAAAATTGTGAGAAGGAAAAGTTTAAATTTATTTTAAAATCAGTATTTTAAGTATAAGGAGAGGCTGTACTTACAGCTGTAGAATTATTTTCTTATCTTTTGCCCACTTTTCTATTTAGAAGTTTGTTTTCTTGCTGATTTGTAAGAGTTCTTTTTTCTATTAAGGAAATTAGCTCCTTATATATTGGCAAATATTTCTTAATACTGTTGTTTGGCTTTTGACTTTGATGTTTTGGTATTTTAAAAAATATATACAGAATTAAAAAAAATTGTAAATATATTAATATTTCTTCTTATAGCCACCAAGATTTTTGTTAAGGTTTCCACACTCTTAAGATTAATATTCCCTCATGTTTTGTCTTTTGTGATGTAAATTTTAGTGTTTTGGTATTTCTATTTGTATTATTTCATTTAAATAATATTTACTGTGTTAATGTATTTTATGCTATGAAATAAATGGTACACATAAGTTTAGTAGGAATTAAAAATATGGAAAAATATCTTAAAGTAAGTCTTGTTTGACTTTTGGAAATAATGTAAGATATGGATAAGAGAATCCTCTCTTAGAGAAACTACTGGAATATATGCATAAAGGAGAATGAAAAGACCCTACCTTATAAGGGAGCACAAAGTTTCAGAGTAAGCTAGAGTAGAGAAGGCTTGAATACTTAGCAGAGACATTTAAATTTATTTTTATAATAATTAACAGCTTTATAGCCTGGTTTGTAATTTAGGAAGGACTTTCCATATAAGTGTGTGTTTGTTTTTAAAGCCTCAAAAAGACCATGGGATCTAAGAGTTGTTACATTTTATTAGTGGAGACACTAAAGCTTTCTAATATGTACCTAGGTATGATGTTTTTTTAAAAGTTTCAATTTTATTAAACAGAAGAGTAAGCTAGTGAATCATATCAGAGAAAGGATTGGCCTGCCTTATAGGCTTTTAGTACCTGTGGTATGCAAAGCTTCTGATTTACTTAGGACCAGAAGATAGGTGGGAATCAAAGAGAATTCCATTGTTTTTGTCATCCTTAAAAATAAAATAACCGGTTATCTAACCAGCAGATGTATTCAGGAATAGCCAAAGAATTGTAATTAGGGATGGGCATGCTATGGCAGACCATAGTCAAATCCAACAAACAAGGGAGAGGAATGTTATTTTATAGAGAAGGAGGAGGAAATTGGGAGGGGTTATTTTGAACAAAAGTCTATTGGAGAAAAGCAGTTCAGAGTGGTGATGGTTTCTCATTGGCTGGGTTGCTGGGGTAGTGGATTTCTATTTGGGATACAGTGTACATTTCTTCCTGAAAATAATGAGTTTTTCCTGTTTATAACTTCTTTTGGGGTCCATAATTGACTGTCTTCCTGTTGAGGACTTCTTTCTGTTGGGGTCTATAATCGACTGTTGGGGTCTGTAATTGACTTTCTTTCCTATAATTGATCTCAAGTGGTACTGCGTGGGAGCTCTCCCTCCTGGCCTTCCGACACCATTTTAAATGAGGTTTCCCTTTATTAATTTTCACATTTTCAACCTAAGATTCCCGGGAAATGGTAAAATGGTTCATCCATAAATGTAAATGTTAAGGAAATGAAGTGAGATCTTAAGGAAATAAAAAGTCTAGTTTTGGATGTATTTGTGGGACATTTAAGTGGAAAAATTTTGTAGGTTGCTAAATATAATATTTTGAGCTGTAAGATACGGAGATTATTTCCTTGTAACACTTTGCAACCCATCTGTATACATAAACACACATTTAATAGAGGAAGATGAGCTCCATACAAGGTTAAAGGTTACACGATTGTGAAGTAGCAGAGTTCAGCTAGAATTTTCATTCCCAGTCGAATTCTCCTTTCATTCTTTCATTTGGGACCAGTTTATACCTGAATGTGAACATTTTTTCTTTCTTGTTCGCTTGAAGCATCAAATAAGGGAAGATGTGTGGTCATATTTAGAATATTTCTAAGTTAACTTTAGAATAGTATTTAGTGTATTGTAATGCTGTCACATTAGTATATCTTACCTTCAAGGATAATAATGTTATTCAAGTTTAATTTCTAAATCCAAGTGTGAAATGTAGCGGCTATGTAGGATTCCAGACAAAAATGAGGAATATCATTCTAAAGAAACAAAGAACACCAAAATTCTGGCACAGTTTCTACAAATGAGAATATATCTAAGACAAAGTACATTCCTCCTTTGGATGATTTCCTTAATGTTGCCTTTATGGTCACCTGAAAAATGATAGGTACATATTTAGAATGGCAGATGTTATAGAAAGAACTTGAAACCCAAAAAATCTATAAAAAATTAAATTCTACAATCTGAAGATATTTTTTCTGAAGTGGCATAGTACACGTAGTGATGCTTTAGGACTACATTATTTCATATTATTCATAATACATATGTTCATATTATTTCATATATAGGCTAGTCATCTTTCATAGAAGTAGCCTTTAAGATCAAAGCAGCTTTTCTTCAGTTTTGAATTTTGGCTAAACTGGTTCCAGAAGAAAACTTAGAACTAAAGCAGCCTATAACTTCCTGTTAACGTCGGCCTTCTTAGATTTGGATTCATAAGTTACAGATGAGGGTTTCCAGACCTTGTTTGTTTATTCCTTAGTTAGAATCTGGCTAAGCTATTACTATGCATAGTGATTTCGCTTTTAAACACTGAGGTGCTAGGTCCTTTTCTGAATTGAGAAGCAACCTGTGATTTTGAATTTTAACATTTGTAGTTTGTCACTTTTTTAAAAATACTATACTGCCCTTCAAATAATAAATACTCATACTTGGGCATTCATTAGCCAGTAAGTCTTAGGTCTTGTACACTGATGTATTAAAGTAGCCTTACATTTAATTTGTTATGGTATTTGTGTTTAAATCAAAGTTTGTTTTTTTTTATCATCTATGATTCAGTTGGATTAGTTCCATAGGACAAAATACTGACCTAAGAAATTATTGGACCTACAAGAGATTGGCATAATTAAGTGGTGGTTTCCTTGTGAATATATTCTTTTGAAAAATACATGATGCACATGAATATTTCCCTGCTGCTTGTGGATATCTTTCTTCTTACAAAATATTTGAAATATAGTTGGGTAAAAGCTTATTAACATGAATTGAATAACTGTAAATGTAAACCTGTCCTATCAGATATCTTATTTAGAATTAATTTCTACTTTTTCCCCCCTTTTTTTGCCAACGTAAAGTGGCTAAAAGCCAAGGTAAGAGATACTACTTATCATTTGATCCACAGTATTCCCTCTATATTGATAGAGGCTGCAGAGCCACTAAAATTTGAAAACTCTTCCTATGTCTGTCTGCTTTTTCCCCATAGGATTTATGTAGATTAAATAAACTCAGTTCAAATCAGCAACGTTTAGCTTGGATGTGTTAATATATCAAAGATATATTGACATCTGCATTTATGTAGGAACATTAATTTTGCTAACATTTATTGCTTTGCTCATTTTTTGATAGTTGCCTTGCTTTTATTGACTTACAATTAGGAGGTTTCCCAGACATCATATATGACTTTGTTACTGAATTGTTAGGATAAAGATGATTTTTCAGATGCATATTTCAGCAAATTGACACTGAGACCTGTAGTTTAGGTTCATGCACACATTTCAAAAATTTGGGGAAAGCCAGTATTTGAATGTAGATAAGTTTGATCTCAGTGAACATGTTTGACAATAATATATAAAATCCAATAATCTCACCTATATTTTGCCATAAATTGGTATGAATAGCACAAAATAATAGGAAAAGCCAAGTGCAAGTGGTTTCTTGACTTTTTAAAATGTAGTACCAAAGTCTGTTATTTAAACTGTCTGGGAATCCTTACTTCACATTCTGATATTAAAAAAAATAATACATGGTGTCAAAACACCAAGAGAACAATTTGATATAAAAATAAAAGCTTTTCTTTCCACATTTTAGCATGGAAATAACCAGCCCGCAAGAACTGGCACACTGTCGAGAACAAATCCTCCTACTCAAAAACCACCAAGTCCTCCCATGTCAGGCCGGGGAACTTTGGGGTAAGGATTCAACTAAATTTTACAAGAAAATTCATATGCTAAAGAAAAAGATGTTTCTGTGACTTAAGTAAATATATGGATCCTTGCTAGGGGACCATCTCAATGTGGCACTACCTTTTATAAATTCATTTTGGTTCTTATTTCCTTGAACAGAATCCAAAATGAATCTGCTTTTTTTAATAATATTCTCTATAGAAGTCTGTACTGAACTAGAAAAGTTATTTTGTATACATGTAAATGTGCATGATTTTTTTAAAGAACATAAATCTTAAGTATATTTCAAATGAAATGGCCAGAGGATTTCATATGGTGCCTTCACATGTGTTTACAATATTTATATTACAGAACTTTGAATAAGTGGTCTGTTGTGTGTAGTCAGCTTGGTAGCCTGCAGCTCCTCCGTTTCTATTACTTGGCACCTGAGACTCTTT